TATCGATATGTTTGGTTGTACTAGAGAAAACTTGCCTTACGTGTGGGAAGACCTTGTCAATGCAGGTTTTGAATCTGGTCATGCCTATGGCAAAGCATTGAGAACCGTGAAGTCATGTGTTGGTTCGTCATGGTGTAGGTATGGAATTGGTGATTCGGTTGGATTTGCTATACGTATTGAGAATAGATATCGCGGTATCAGATCGCCGCATAAATTGAAAGGTGGTGTTTCCGGTTGTATAAGAGAATGTGCCGAAGCTCAAGGAAAAGATTTTGGGTTGATTGCAACTGATAAAGGTTTTAATGTCTATGTTTGTGGTAATGGTGGTGCTAAACCTAAACATGCTGTTTTATTGGCTAAAGATGTACCTGAAGAATTATGTATAAAGTACTTGGATAGATTTTTAATGTATTATATTCATACTGCTGATAAATTAACACGTACTGCTAGATGGCTTGAAAAAATGGAAGGCGGAATTGATGTAAATATTAAATTTATTGTATTTATATATGAATATATATTGAAATTTGGTTTTAATCTTTATTTATTATTATTATTGCACCAATGTATATTTTTTATAGTATTTACGTAGAGTAGTTATTAATGATCATCTTGGAATATGTGAAGAATTGGAAAAAGATATGGAAAGACTTATCAACACATATCAATGTGAATGGGCACAAGTAGTCAAAGATCCAAAGCGTCGTAATGAATTTAGGCAATTTGTTAACACGGAGGATACACAAACTTCAATTGAAATAATTACAGAACGTGGACAAAAAAGACCAGCGGATTGGCCAAAAGATGTATCAGTATTACAACCATTAATGAGTAATGGCAACGGCGATGTCGTAAGCAATGGTAAAAATGAATTAACTGGAAAATCTTGGGTAAAAATTGCACCAGTTGATTTATTCCCAGATAATTCCGGTAAAGTTATAAAATATGGTGACACTCAAATTGCAATATTCAATTCACACGATAAAACCCAATGGTACGCGACACAAAACATGTGTCCGCACAAAAGAGCTTTCGTGTTAGCGGATGGAATACTTGGTGATGATGAAAACGGGGTTGTTAAAGTTAGTTGTCCAATGCACAAGAAAAACTTCTCGTTGGAAAGTGGTGAATGTATATCAGGTGACGCTGAATTGAAATTGATGACTTTTGATTTGAAGATTGAAGATGATTCTATTTGGTTGCATTTGCCTCCAACTCATCAATTGGATAATTTACTTGGAACCCGAAAATTGATGATTACTAAAAATGATAATAAAAAGACACGTGTAAATAAAGATGAAATTATTGTAGGTTGTGAAAGTGTTGGTTGTGGCGATAAAAAATTAGATTGGTAGTTGGTTAAAAGATGGATTGTGGTTAACTAAAATGTGTAAATTAATTGTATTTTGTTTGTTATTATTATTTATTATTCATAATTCAAAACTATATTTTTTAAATCATTTTTCATTTTCATTTTCATATTTCATTTTCATTTTCATATTTTCATTATCACTCATAAAAGATTCATTGTTATTATTATTTATTAAAAATTTATTAAAAAAATTTATATTATTTTTCAAAAAATTAAAACATGATAATTTCCAAAGGAATTTTTTACATTTTAACATTTTGTTTTCCATCAATGCATTCTTTTAATTTACCCATGAACTTTTGTTAGAAGACCATTGTTTACTAGATATCTTCCAATAAGTCCTGCAAATTCTCTCCGCCACCATTCATTGCTTTAAGTTGGCCCATTAAAATATGTCTTGTTTAGACGTGGAAAAGATTTGAAAGGATTCACGTAATAATTGCTGAGAAACCTTTTTCTAAAAATTAATTGCCTTTTCGTATTCATTAGAACCATTATATTCATGTATGTATGACACTACATAAAATCTTACCACTTTGTAATTTTTATCAAGAAGCTTGTTAAAAAGAATTAATATTTTTTGCAAATAATAATTGGTTATAATTATTATAATTCAAAAAATAATGTTTAAAATAAAAAATTTAGAAAGAAAAAAAAATTTTTTTTAAAAATGAATTTCTTCACTCGAAATTCTTTAAATATTAATAATTCTTTTGAATAAGATTATTAATTAATCAAAAAAGATTCCGACTCATTTATTTATTGTTTATTATTTGATTCTCTGGCTAGAAGTTATGTAACAACAAAAAAAAGATCTTTTACTTTAAAAAATAATAAGTAATTTCCGTAAAATTTTAGAGATAAGGTGAATTACAAGAAAAAAATTTTTTTTATATTTTCCAATTTAATCGATAAGATAAAGTTTAAAAAATTTTTATTTCTGTTGATTATTTTAAAAAAAAATTTTATTTATATGAGTTACTTTTAATTTTATAATAAAATTCATATAAATTCTCTTATCAACAAAATGGAAATAATAAATTAGAAATTCCTTTTAGAGCATTAGCATCTGAAACCACGTGAGCCCTAAAAAGATTTTTTGTGGTTGTCGACAATCGTGGTTGTTACACGGCGAATTCTTTTAAATTTGCGGTAAATCGCGCGAATTAAAAGTTCTTCACTTTTTTGCAATTTTTCTTATTCTTTTAATAAAATAAGTTGATGAGGAAAAAAATACAAATAAATAATTAAATAATAAAGCAAAAATAGTCAAATTTTTACGATTTTAAAAACTTGTTTTTTTCCACAAAAAAAAAATTTATTTTCTTTAAATTTTATCCCTCTTCTCTCTAAATATACAATAATTTAATAATTTATAAAAATGGGTATAAAACAATTGTTCGAAAATCCTTTACCGGTCGACAAAATTACTGAAAAGGCAACAGCAATTAATTTAAGATCAGTTGCACGACCTTATATGAGAGCATTTCATTTTTCATGGTTGGGATTTCTTACCGCGTTTACCGGATGGTTTGCCATACCACCTTTATTGGTGACAATCACAGAAGATTTGAAATTATCAAAAGATCAAGAAGCCAGTTCTAACATAGCAGCTGTCTCATCTACAATACTATTTCGTATATTTACCGGACCATTGACCGACAGGATCGGACCTAAGCGAGTTATGGGATTATTACTGATAGCGGGTGCCATACCAATTGGATTATCTGGATTGGTTACTGGGTTTGAGGGATTGGTTGTTGTAAGAATTTTCATTGGTATTCTTGGTGCAACATTTGTGCCATGCCAAACCTGGACCACACATATGTTCAACCGTAACATTGTTGGTAGCGCCAATGCGTTAGTAGGTGGATGGGGTAACATGGGAGGTGGATTGACATATATTTTGATGCCACTGGTATTTGGTGGATTGCTTGATCAAGGATTGTCAAAACACGACGCATGGCGTGTAGCTATGGTCATACCAGCATGTTTATGTTTTATTGTTGGAATTAGTTGCTTATTATTTGTTGATGACTGTCCACAAGGCGAATGGAGAGATCATAAACCACCTGCTGAAGAAACTGATGTCGTCACTGAAAAAGAAGTACAAACAGTTATTGTTACCGATGATTCCAAACCAGAACCTACCAAAGCTGTAATCGAAGAAGAAAAACAAATTGATAACCAAGTTAACAAGAAAGGTGTTGAGACTAAATCAATCATGAAGAAATTTTTATTAGCATTAAAAAATCATAATGTAATAATATTAATGATAATGTATGCATGTTCATTTGGAGTGGAACTTGCGGTGGACAATGTTATTGGTATATTCTTTGCCAGTGAATTTGGTCTTGATCAACATTCTTCATCATATATTGGATCAGCATTTGGTCTGATGAACCTTTTTTCACGTGCATCTGGAGGATTTATTTCTGATTATGCAAATTCCAAGATTGGTATGCGCGGCAGATTGTTAGTCCAATTTTTGGTTTTATTTTTGGAAGGAGTGTTCTTGATTATTTTCAGATATTCACTTGGCTCATTGACATCAGCCATTGTAGTTCTCATTATTTTCAGTTTTTTCACGCAGGTGAGAATTTATAATTAATTTATATTAATAATTATGATTTATTATATATCCCAATTCTCTAATAAATTTTCTCTCTCATCTCACAGGCATGTTGCGGTACTTCATTTGGTATTGTACCATTTGTAGATCCTGTTATAATGGGAGCAGTTTCTGGATTGGTGGGAGCTGGTGGAAATGTCGGAGGATTTTTCTTTAATTATGTGTTCAAATGGTATGCTTACGATAAACCAACCGGATTTTTAGTATTAGGAATAGCTGTTTTGGCCGTTTCATTTACCACATTTGCTTTGAGAATTGAACAAACCATGTTATTATCAAGAAAATAATTTCGAATATTTATGATTTTTCCTATGATTTTTTTTTTTTTATTTAAAATAATTATTATGTATATTTACTTAGTTTTTTCATATTAATAAAAATTAGTTATAAAAAACTTAAAAAAATTCGTGGGAATATTTGAATTATATAATCAATCAATCAAAAAAATGTTTAACAAATATTTACGAAGTGATGTGTCATCTCTAGGAGATGTTTCGATAATCCTTTCATTTACATCACAATTTGACGATCACTTGTGATAATTAACTTTTACTTTTTTATTAATACGAGGCATTAACCCGTAATATGAAATGAACTTGATATAAATTAAAAATTAAAGTACATGCAATAATAACGAATTATATATTAACATATACAGTCACTCTCTCTATAACAATAACGGAAAAATGTCCGTTATAGAAAGAATCCGTTATAGCAGTAATGATTTATATATCTGATATGGGAGATATAAACGTGGCTTAATTCTCAGTCTGTTTTATAGATCAAAGATCTGTTGTTATTATTATTATTATTACTATAGAAAAATCCGTTATAGAGAGAGTAGAGTGTATAATATATATCACATACAAACAAAAGAAAAAATTTTTTATAGAACTCATATTTTATTTATTTGAAAATGAAAAGGATGCACTAAAGTCGCTATTTATTTACAGAATGTAAAAAGAGATGCAGTTTATTCCATTGATTACACATGACGTGGAAATTTGCATTCTTTATGTGAATTACTTATGAAATATATATGTGTAAATGAACTTTATTAATTGTATAAAAGAAAAAATTAATAATTTTATCAATATTGCATGTGTGACCATAAAATATTTGCACTTACTTTTCCATCTTTGATAATATTCAAAGGTGATATTAGATATTAGAATCATATACTAATACATTATGAGGAACATATTGATAGTATGATCTCATGTAATACTATTTTTTAAGAACTTATTATATGGGTCTTATATTATTATGTTAAACATAATAATTGATTCAATAAACATTTAGTTATTTTTAAAAAAAAGACGCTCGTAAATTCTTTTATAATGTAAATGTGATAATTGCAAACGTCAGTCAAAATTTATGAAACTATGTAAAAAATCCGGCCCACATGTTTTAATAATACGGGGCAGAATTATAAACCATATCCGTCCATCCATTAATATTATTAATATGTTCATTATGTTCATAGTGCCCATAAATGTAATAATGCAATAGATAATTTATTATCTTGAAGATCCCCCAAAGAACTTATGTATTTTTTTGTAAGAAAGAGTAGGAAGATTGATAAGATAACCAAAAAAAAAATTTTTTTCAATGGATTTAGTTAGTTTAATTACCGACGAATTTTTGGCAAGAAAAAAGGATAATTTCTTCTCTTTTCCCAGTTAATTCAGCTTGGAAAAAAAAAAGATAAGATATACACATAAATAAATAATATAATAAATAAATATAATATATAATATATAGTTGATAAGCAAAATATAAATAACACTTTGTTTGGTTACATTCTTGGTTTTTCTTGTTTATAACCAATTAAAAAAGTTGATAAGCTATCAATTTACATAATCATATAATAATAGGAAAAACTGTCAAATATGGTTGTACAGAAAAAAATTTCGTGACCCAATTATATATAACCCGGGCAGTAACTGAGTTATTATAATTATTATTATTGTTTTGTTTGTTTGTTTATTTTTATTATCCTTACATAAAAAATCAATCACAGCATGTATTAAAACATTATTTATTACATACACGCTTTTTTTTCTTTGATAGAAAAAAAGATAACAGAATTATTTATTTTAGCTAAATCAAAAATTGATTGCAATGGAAAATTGCGCGTGAGATAAAAATAAAGAACTTTCCGCATTACGCCTCTAAATAAAGATAAAGATAAAGATAAAGTGAGAAAAAAGGCGTTTTCCATTAAAGAACTATTTTTGATTTTGATTAATTGTCTTTAAACAAAAAACTGGTCATTTTAAACAATTAAAATGGTGATTTCATTTGATTGATTGTTTGACAGCAAGCCTATCATCGCCACGCTTTATCTTGAACCACATACACTTTCTAATTTTACTTCAATTGATTGTAAAAAAACAATTATTCTGTTATCTCATTCTTTTATCTTGGAGATTCGATTTCATATCATACCTGTGTATGTGCAATTAATTAATCATGATGATGGTGTTGTTAACAGATCTAAACTTAAACTAGATAATTATTTTTATATGACTTCTCTTTTGTTTTTATTGGGCAAAATTATGTTGATACTTTTCCCGATATCTCCTGATATAAAAAATTCTATGTACTTTTTGTTGTGTCCATCAATTCCATATGCACAAACATTGAAATAACAAAATGGATAAATGCTATCATAATCAATTGTTACTATCAAATGTTAATTTGTACACAAAAAAATTTTTTATGCATGTTTTTTTTTTTATGTTAGAGTAACACCAATTTATCTTTAAAACATTACTTGCCAATTTTATCAACTTATCATATCCCGTTTGTCACCGAAATGCTACAGGATTATTCATTTATCGTTATTAGTTGATAAGAATAACTTATTATTTTTAGTAAATAAAAATGAATCTAGAATGATTTATATATATTATAATATGTATAATAATAATATATACTCAAGTGAGAGTGGAGTGATATTAATTATTGCAAATAATAAACACTATTTTTTTACTAATAACAAATAGTGGCATATTTATTGCAAGATAATTCATTGATTTTTTAAGGAATTGGAATTGAAAATCTTTTTTATAAAAAATAGGTTTTTTACGAATTTTTTATAAAATTTGAAGAAAATAGTTTGTTAGAAGCTCCAAGTTGCGAGCTTTATATAGGAAAAATAAAAAATGATATTACATATAGATAAGATGTTATTATTTATATCTATAATATATTTGCAACATTTGCTCATTTTTGCTGATTATTTAACAATGGAAAATGGTGTTATTGCTTAGCAAAACACATCTTCTCGTAGTGATTATGCTTACTTTCGGATCTGTTGTATTATACTTTTATGGAAAAGATTAATTGTTGTTTTCTTATTTTGCGCGAATAAATAAAAGATAACCCCGTTTGGTAGTTAATTAATTTGATAAGAATGAAAATGAATGCGAAAAAAGAATTAAAATTAAATGCATATTCCTTATCACTTATTTTAATTAACCTTATTTGAATATTTTCAACTCGGATCAAACCAACCCCGAGTCGTCGTTCAGCCGCTATCATACAATAACAAATAATTGATTCACGCAAATAAAAAATTTCCAATATCGATGTTGTCCCCTTCCTCGTTTATTGCCCTGATCAATCTTGATTGTATTTTTTTTATTTATCATCAAATCTTATTGATCAAAATTATTTGTCATTTATAAAAACGAGGGAAAATTTTTTTTATCTTTTTTTTTTCAATAATAATAAAAAAGTCAAAAAATAATTTGATTTTTTTATAAAAAAAATCAAAAATTCATTTTTGTTAATAATAATAAAATAATAAATATGGCTGCCTCTGTTGCAACACAGCAAATCTTAAATGATAATATGTTTCAAAACGAAAAAACCATTTCTAATGACTCCATACCCACCCCTAATAATTCCACCCCTAAAACCCTTTCAAAACCTACTTCTACATCCACATCTATACAAATCAACGAACTTAAAGATGACGAAACAGATCAAAAATTATCTCCTGTAATTAATAATTATATGAAAAGATTTGGAATTGACACAAGAGACTCCAACACTCGTGATAACTGGATTCCAAGAAACCCTAAATTAATACGATTGACAGGAAAACATCCTTTCAACTGTGAACCACCTGTTCCTTTACTATTGGAACAAGGTTTCATCACCCCAAATGATCTACATTATGTAAGAAATCATGGTCCTGTTCCTAAACTTGATTGGAAAACTCACCGATTAATCATTGACGGGTAATTATTATTTATTCAACAATAAGTTATTTATTTAAAGGGTAACGTAAAAGTATCTTTAATTAACATTATTTATTTACTAATTCAAATATATCTCATTCATTCATTCGCTCAGGTTGGTATCCAAACAACTTACTTTATCAATGGACGATATTGTTAAATTGCCCTATCGTGAATTTCCCGTTACTTTGGTTTGCGCCGGTAATCGTCGTAAAGAACAAAACATGGTCAAGCAATCGATTGGTTTCAATTGGGGCGCTGCTGCTGTCTCCACTGCTGTCTGGCGTGGTGTATCGCTTAGTTACATCTTGAAAATGGTTGGTTTGAGCCTTGATGCTGATTACGGTGAGGAACGTCATGTTTGTTTCGTTGGCGCTGACCTTCTACCAAACGATTACTATGGTACAAGTTTACCTTTGGATTGGTCAATGAATGAAGCAAAAGATGTCTTGTTGGCTTATCAGATGAACGGTGAAATCTTATCCCCTGATCATGGTTACCCGTTACGTGTAATAATCCCAGGTGTTATTGGTGGTCGTATGGTCAAATGGCTCAACAGAATTACCATCACAAACAAAGAATCAAACAACTACTACCACTATAACGACAATCGTGTCCTGCCACCAAACGTTGATGCTGAACGTGCAACCAAAGAAGGTTGGTGGTACAAACCTGATTATATCATCAACGAGCTAAACATCAATTCTGCAGTTGTATCACCTGATCATGACGAAACATTATCAATCTCAAGTTTCAAAAGCGATTCCGAATACAAGCTAAAAGGTTATGCATATAGTGGTGGAGGTCGTAAAGTTACACGTGTGGAGATTAGTTTGGATGATGGCAAAACTTGGTCATTAACCGATTTAGAGCATCCTGAACTTAATCATTCTGCGGTCGTCAATAGACGTCAGAGACCACTTCGTAATTATTGGTGTTGGATTTTTTGGTCATTCTCAGTACCTGTTCATAAATTAATCGAGTCCAAGGAAATCATTGTACGTGCTTGGGATTGTTCAAATAACACCCAACCA